ATATATATATATTTTTTTTTTCTTTCCTTCCCAACTCACAAAACTGTTAACCCTGAAGTTATTCCTTTTAGCTGTTCTTTAACAGTTTTCTTGTTCTCTGTCTGACAGTGGAATTGTTCAGAAGGACCTGATTTTTTCCCTTGGACAAACTGAGTGTATGCTGAAACCAGTGGAGTCTCCTGATATGAAAATGACCAAAATATTCAGCAAAGATGACTTGGAAGATACCAACAGCCTATTTGAAAAACTTAAGCAGGAACCAGATGCTTTAACTGTGCTGGCCCCAGCTGCTGGAGACACAATTATCTCTCTAGACTTCAGCAGTAATGGTGGGTGTGTGTTTAAATTGGAGAGCATGCTAATTAGTAAAGTTAGTATTTTACAGTAAAAATAACCTCCCAGTATCACTTGTCTAGTGATATGTCAGCTGCTGTTTCAATTTAATGAGGTCCGTAGACATGCACAGTATTGTTACTTAGGTTGATGGTTTCTTTTAATTTTTATAGAGTCTGATGAACAACAATGTGATGAAGTTCCTTTGTATAATGATGTAATGCTCCCCTCATCCAGTGAGAAATTGCAGAATATAAATATGGCAATGTCCCCACTACCTGCTTCTGAAACTACAAAGCCACTTCGTAGCAGTGCTGATCCTGCACTCAATAGAGAAGTTGTATCAAAGCTGGAGCCAAACACAGAGCCACTCGAACTTTCTTTTACCATGCCTCAGGTGCAGGAGCAACCAACCAGCCCTTCTGATGCAAGTACCAGCCAAAGTTCACCTGAGGTTAGTTATGTAATTTGGATATGCTGTCATTAAAATGTAAGTGCTGCTGGGGCTTGTGGAGCATATCAGGTTAAGGATGCAGCCAAGACCCGAACTGAAAATTGTTTCTGTGTTGTGACTTAAGCTCATGCCATGATCTAAGGAAAAAGACCAATTTTGAAACTGAGAGTCACCTTTTCAGTAAAGTGAGTCTTGCAACTGCTTGCGTACTACCTGATAGAAACAAGACGACCTTGGGATTGGTCTTCCTAATAAAAAATGGTTCAGAGACAACTTCCCTAAATAGCAAATTAGATGTGATGTATTACTGTAGAGGCTGCTTCTGGGTTCCAACAAATTGTGTGCTTCTGGAGTGGAGTAAATTTGAATGTGTAAATGTGTTTCCCTTTCCCATTTGAATTTTGTGCAGCTATAGTTTGGAATTAGCTTTTACATTAAAAAATTTTTCAGAGAACTTGTAGATACAATGCAAAATGATATAATGGCAGAAACTTAAAACCGCACTCAAAATGTTTTCACAGCCCAGTAGTCCCAACAACTACTGCTTTGATGTGGATAATGATATGGCTAATGAATTCAAACTGGAATTAGTGGAGAAACTCTTCGCAATAGATACAGAAGCAAAAAATCCATTCTCTACTCAGGTAATGTACATTAACTTAAAATTCTTTATAATCTTAATACTTACCCTCAATGTGCTTCTCTTAAAATGTCTTCAGGAACCTCCTTCCTCTTCTATGTAATATTTTAGTTAAATGGCAAAAAAATATTGCAAGGATTTGGTAAAGGGAAGAGCTTTAATAAAGCTATGAAGTCACAGCTGAGATGTTGTTACATATTTATAATTTTTACCTCTTGTCTTTTCCAGGAAACTGATTTAGATTTGGAGATGTTGGCTCCTTACATCCCAATGGATGATGACTTCCAGTTGAGATCCTTTGATCAGCTATCTCCACTGGAAAGCAGTTCTTCTGGCTCTCAGAATGCAGCCACCATTACCATATTTCAGCAGACTCAAACACCATCAAGTACTGCTGATGAAATAAAACCAGTGACAGAACGTGTGGATGATGTGAAGACGCTAATTGTTCCTTCATCTCCTGTTCACATAATCAGTGAAACGAGTAGTGCCCCGGGATCGCCTTACAGCGGGAACAGGAGTCGAACTGCATCTCCAATCAGAGCAGGAAAAGGAACATCGGATCAGACAGAAAAATCTTGTCCTGGAGCACCTAGTTTACTAACAGTCACTCTGAATAAAAGGTATTTTAAAAGCAAAGCTTAAGCCCTGTATCTGTTGAAGAAATTAGATGTATTACACGTTTAAATCCCACCAACTGTTATATGTTGTCTTTGGCATTCTATTTCAAAGTAGAAATTGATACATTTATATTTGGTATTTCAGACAAGTTTGGTTTGGTTTATAGTAAGTTTCCCTAAAGCTAATTTTGCAGTAGCTTTTATATAAACATCTGATCTAATGGGCAGCTACTGTATGCAAACTGTTACATAATTTTCTTCTGCTCTTGTATCTGGTGTGCAGCCTTTTTAAGAGAATGCAGTAGGCAATTTACAAGTAGTTATATACACGCTATTTCTGGTGCTTTTCTTGTCTGCTTTGTTACGAGGTAAGAGGTGACTGCAGTCTGTGTGCTGCATTTATTGTTTTTGAAACTAGCCTTATTTCATAATGGTGGACTGTGGCATATGTAGTAGATATTGATCATGAGAGAAAACTCTAGAACTTCAGAATTCTGATACATAGAACACTTTTCTGTACACAGAATATTCAGAATAGACTTTTCCTCACTCACCCTTCCCTCCCTTCTTTCTGTTGAAAGTGAATTGCTGAACTTTTATGCTTTTTTTTTCCTGCAAAGACTTTATAATTTTTGTTATAACTCATTCTGAGCTTCACGGCAAGATGAAAAGCTAATATTTGCTATGCTCATACACAATGATTGTTGAAATGAGTCGATTATGAAAGAAAAGTAGTATAGTTCATAAATTCAGTTCTGTGATGTTGTATGTGTGTCCACAAAAGAAAAATGGCTTGAGGATAGTAGAAACGTCTTAACAGCCTGAATCAATTTTTCTTAGATCTACTGCAATGGATGAAGAACTAAATCCAAAGATGCTAGCTTTGCATAATGCTCAGAGAAAACGAAAAATGGAACATGATGGTTCACTTTTTCAGGCAGTTGGAATTGTGAGTTTTGTTTTACCATTTTAAAATATTCACTTTTAACCTTGCAATTTCTGAAATGAGGCATCAGTTCAGACTCCCGATTTTAGCTGTTGGTATGCAGTGGAATCTTGGGATCAGAGAAAATTGCTCGGTAGTGAAATTCCCATGTATACACAGATATTCTGATTTTTAGTTCTCTTACTGCTGTCAGCTGTTTCAAAAGCACCCTCTATACCTAAGCACGTTTCTTGAATAGGTAGGAGATACATTTGTGCATATTCTACTGAAGAACTGATATGTTTACAGAAGAGTAAGACATCACATTCAGATGTAAATTTGTCATATTTCACTTTCGAATTCAAACTCTATTTGTCAATACTGGAGATAGTGTTCTTATGCTTATTTCTAGGCTTTCATTTTTTCATTGAGTCTGACATTCCTTTAGTTGATCACATAGCAAAACCATCTGAACCATAAGGGAATAGAATTAATATAATCTAGCAAATGTATATTATATGACTTCCACTACATGCACACTCTCTGTAGTGTTAGTGCATGTGCTTGTAGCTCATCATGGTCTGTTCTAGCTATTCAAAAGAAACCTTGGGTATTCTTAGATTTGCGTCACTTAATTGGGGCTATCCAGGTTGTTATTTTCTGCAAGGGTATTTTGCCTCCATAATCTTTGTCTCTTATTGTCAGTTCTTAGTATTTTTAAATCTTGAGCTTTGCCGTTACGTACTATCATCTCTCTGCCTTCATTGCAAATTCCCACTTGTCTTAAGTCTTGTACAGTTAATTCTTAGTTCCTGTACTGCAAGGTAGCTTTTGAGATTCTATGTTTCTCTAGCAATCAATCTCCTAGAGGTAGTCATCCATCATATGCAGGATGATTTTTCTTTTGAACTATGAATTGTTCCTGTATTGGCATTCTGGTTGGGGCATGAGACAAATCACTGTATACTGTCTTTATGATTGCTCTCCTCTAGAAGAGCTGAGAAAACTTTTGTATGTCCATTTTTATTCTATGAGGCAAGCAGACATTAAAACAAATAATCATACTATTGATTTCATTTGCTAAATGTTTTGTACTTTCATGCATGTTTTTCTTTTTGTTGCTTCCAGTAGCTCTGTAATATTCCTAGCTCTGCAAGATACTTTATTGCCTTCCATTGCCTCTTTCTCATGTGATGGTGCTATAGCTGTCATGTGGTGTTGCTGATAAAATATCCGGAATAGCCTGTGTTGTAATTAAATACACAGAGCACAAGCAGTTCTGCATTAACTGCTGTGATAGTGTACAGGCTTAATGCTTATAGGTTCAGAGTTCATCTTTTACTAAACCTTTTTCTCTTTTCTGTATCTGACAAAAGTGTTGCAAATGTTTTGACTGTTTCTGCGCAGTCAGAAGCTGAATTTTCCATGTACCTGGGTCTTAGTGATGTTACTTCAAGCAAGTGCTTTTGTTGTTTGGCTTTTCTCCACAACAAATTTCTGAGAGGATAAACGAGGCCTTGCGCAAGCACAGAAGAAAAATGGTGTTAAATCTAGGCTAAAAAAATAGTGTTCTGGGATTGTGCAAAAACTTGATACAACTTCTTAGCTGGAAGGAAGTGGGACTTGTTTTGAAAATAAGTAAAGACGAAAGTAAAATACTGTGTTAGCCTTCTAGAAGACAAAAGAATCGGACATGGGATGGATACTTACGTTATGAAATAATGGTTCAAATCATTACATTGAAGAAGATACGAGCTGTATCGTTCTTAATATGAAGGGCTGTATTGCATTCATAGTAAAAACAAGACCAAAAAATCCAAAACAAACAACAAAAAAACCAAAAACTCCAGCAACAATGCAGGTGACTGACCTTACTATGAAATGCAATTTCTAAATCAGAGTTGTTTATCTTCTATTATACAACTGTCCTTTTGGCTTGCATGGATGTTTTATAACTTGAAAACATATGTTCTTTGCTATTTTAAGTGTTCAGGATAATGTCAACGTTCTGAAATACCTTTTCCTCTTTTAGCAGCAGTCAGTACTACTAACAAGACAAAGCTTTGCAGATTCAACTACTTTTGCTAGCAAATTTGATACTAAGATGGTGTGTTCTCCTTCCATCCCATCTGCTTCAGTGGCAGCTTCTTCTTACTTATCCTAATTATATGGAGCCTTTAAAAGCTATCTAATCTCCGTATCTTCTGTACTGCTGTCAAAACAGTATGTTAAGGAGCTGTATCTGCGGTAGAATGGCTTAGGACTGCATTCCCTTGACTTGGGTCAGATGGCTTGGTGGCAATAACTGGAGTGCAAGCAGAATTTACATCTTAAATTTAGATAGAATCAACTTACTGAGGTTCCCGAGTCTCCTGTCTACATTATTAATGCCAGTGTAAGAAACCATTAGAGACTTCAGTGAAAACCTGATGCTTACTCACACAAGAGCAGTGGCAATTAAATGGGTGTGTATGTGTATAGGAACATGCTAATCTTGAGCATGGTAACCTATCATAACCAGGACTTAGTAATTGTTTTCTGTAAGGGAAGTCAGGTGTTTGAAATCTGATTCAGTTTTCTTTTAAATAATTTTCAAAGCCAGTGTACTTGGAAATATATTTCTCCTTAAGTTATGAATGAAGTCTACTTTAAATTGTAACAATGACTACACTAGTAATTAGTGACAGGAACTGTTAGTTTGGAAGAGGGACATGGAGGGCTACAAAGATACAGTATTCAGTAAAGATTTATTTTATTTCTTTCTAGGGGTCTTTATTCCAGCAGACAGGTGACCGTGGAGGAAATGCATCACTTGCTTGGAAACGTGTAAAGGGATGCAAAACAACTGGTCAAAATGGAGTGGAGCAAAAGACAATCATTCTACTATCAACTGGTCAGTCTCTCCTTTTAATACCTAGAGGGGGGCAGAGTGGGTTGTCTGAAAGAGAACTGAGTGACAAAAGCATACCTAAACTTACCTCCTTTACGAAGAATTGTGGAGAAAAGGTTGAGTGGTGAATAAAGTGCACTTTTTCTCCTTCCCCTCCCTCTTTAGACATAGCAAGTAAACTTCTAGGGCAGTCGATGGATGAAAGTGGGCTACCCCAACTCACGAGTTACGATTGCGAAGTAAACGCTCCCATACAAGGCAACAGAAACCTGCTACAGGGTGAAGAACTGCTCAGAGCTCTGGATCAAGTTAATTGAGCTTTCACAATACTTGTTCCTTTTTTGGACACTGGTGAATCATCACCTAAAGCAGTCTATTTATATTTTCTATATCTGATTTTAGAAGCCTGGCTACAGTACTGCACTAATTCAGTTAGTTCAGTTTTGATCCCCTTTCTACTTATTTTGACAGTCTTTTTAATATGTTCTTTATGTAACAATAACTCAAACTATAGTGCGTTTTTATAATTCTTTGGTACATACACTTTTAAGTCCATTACATTTAAAACACTCTCGTAATAGCAGCTTTGAAATATGCACCTGATCTTAAAAAAATAAAAAAAAAAAGTATAAATATTTATTTTTTGGCTGGGGAGTTGGTCACCAAAACTTAGTAGTAAAATGTCAACACAGGAAAAACTGGCAATACTTCCACCCTGCTTTTCATAGGTAGTTGGAAGACTTGTGTTCTCTTACTCTTTATGTTCAAATAAGTTTTTTATTTTAATAGTTTTTATAAGAAAGAACAATGCTTTGCAGCAGTGCATTGTAGCCACAATCGCACAATATATTTTCTTAAAAAATACCAGCAGTTCCTCATGCAATATATTCTGCATTTATAAAAACTAGTTTTTAAGAAGAATCCTCTTTTGTTTGCCTATGAAATCATATTTAAACCTGGATTATGTCATTATTTTAGTCACGTTGTAATATAAATTGTTCTTAAATGCTGTCTTATGCTTTTGACTTAAATGAGTGTGGTTAGTCAAAGGAAAGGCTTTATCTGGAAAGGGCTAGCAGCATTTTATTTGGATTTGTTCTCAATTTAGGAAAGTTTGATGTTGTTAAAGTAGTCACTTTGCCAGCTTAAAAAAAGAATAAAATTCCCCTGCCTGTAGTTGTTGAAGTTAATGCTAATATTGTGTATGATCTTAAATCTAAATGTTCAGCTTACCCTGTGTGGTATAGGTGATATTTCAAGCAGATTGTAAAACATCTTGCATTGTTAGCAAAGTTTTATCTAGTACATCATTGAGTTGCTCAATATTTTGATGTTTTGGTTTTATGCACCTTGTTGCTATTAACATCCATATGTTTTCATGTAGATTTCAATAACTTGAATATATTTAGCAACCTTTTTATTTAGAAATATATAGTTGTCACAAACATCTTAATTTCCTATATGTACTGTACAAAACCTTCATTCACTCATTCTTTTGCTCTTTGTGGTTGGATCTAACACTAACTGTATTGTTTTCTTACATCAATAAAATATATGTGGACCAGGCCCCCTTGGGGAGTGTGTTATCTGAGAGAAATGAGATAATTTATATTTTTGTTAGTGGTTATTGTTCATCCGTGTTCCCTTTTTAACTTAGAGTTGATTGGAAATCACTGCTCCCTTATTTTGATTGTAACATCTCTGTGTTAATTATTTGAGCCTATTCAGTACTGAAGTCTACTAGACAGTGTTGTACTACCGCTCGCCAAAGATGTTTAACTTTTAAATCTGTTATCACACCAGTTAGCAAACTTTAAAGTGAGGAGACAGCATATTTGTGTTACTGCAGAGTGGAAAGATTCTTCCTTGTGAACAGCTTAAAGGCTTATCTCTGGAAGCTTTATCAAGGTAACACTGGAAAGCGGGAAAAAGTAAAATTCACGGGACTGATCAGGTAAAGATGGATTGTTCTCACAAAATTGCATGATTACAAAATTAAGCTGGTGCTTCATGATAAACTTTTTCTGCATTCTTGTGCTGTTGACTCGTAACTCTAACTAGGTGACTTCTCGTTTTGCTGCCATAAAACACAATGCTACTGATAGAACCTTGTAATGTGTAAAAGTATGGTCAAGATAAATGTGCATTCTTCAAACTATTTTAGAAATTCTCTCAATGTAAGACATCACATGTGGATTGTCACAAGAATGATTTTGGTTTTATTTTGAAACTTTGGCTTCATTAGACTCCTGCAATCAATATAATGGTATGTAAGCTTTAACCTATTTTCTAAAAATTACTGTTTCACTAAAATGAGCAGTTTTGAAACTGAAACAACTGTATTAAACTAAGTGGAGACTATTAGCTACCAAATAAAAAAAAGATAAGGCACTAGTAGCAGAGATGGTTCCATGCTTAAAGTTTTGAGTAGAAGTTGCACATAGAGGAGAAAGCATGTAGGTACACTAAGCCAGAGTTGAAGCTTCGTGCAGAGAACATTTGAATATATATATCTGCTGGTGAATACCACAGATCTTTAATGCAGCTGTTAAGTGTACAAAGCTTACAAAGTTCTCTGGATGAAAGCAGCAGAGCTACTATGTCCCCGCTGTGTGAGGTCTCGGAGATGGTGTTCTATCAGCAGTTAAAAAGTTTTAACAGTAAGTTGCTAAAGGCTTAGGTAAAGAACCTGCTGGTAAGGGCATCCCTTCTGCTCAGCTCTATGTGGATTGATGTGATGCTTCTGTGAGATAGGAGAGTCTTGATATATGTGAAAAGTTCAAGTGCGTTCTGCTTTTCTTACTGCCCCAGCAAGCTTTAAGCTGTGTTGGTGGGTTATCCCTTTCCATCTCCCAAGAGAAACTTCATACCATCATGCTTGAAATTGTTCTGCTACTCTTTTCACCTTATTTTGGAGCAGCCTGACTTGTTTGGATCTGTCAGTTCCTCTTCAGTGTATTTTAAGAGGGCAGTAAATTTTCACAGAGAAAATCCATGTTAAAGAGAGGAGGAAAAACTTAAGTGACCCACATGATTTATGGTTATGTGCCTGCTGGAATCATCTCTGGTCTTAATGAGAGCGCTGGATTTAAATGAGCCATGTTTCATCTAAGAATCTTCCCAACTCCCACATTTTTTTCATTATACATAGTAAGGCATAGCATTTTGTTTTTACTGTCCATGTAAAAGTGACTGAAACAAAGCAGTTAATTGAGTGAACTGCAGCAGCTGTATTGTTGTTTGGTTGGTTGGGTTTTTTTAACTCTTGTTTACAAACAAAACAAACCCAAGCATCAAACCTCCAAAAGACACTAAAGAAAACATGGAGAAGTAACAGTATTCGCTCTGGCCTTACAAGAGCTGTGCTAAATGCAGATGTAACGTCACAGAATCTAGGAGGACACCTTCTAGCTGCCTTTTTTTATTTTACTTTTTTATATATATTTTTTTCTTAGACTCTCAGAATACACATTCAGATTCTTTGGAGGACAATCTTCCTGGTCTAGTGGAAGGTGTCCCTGCCCATGGCAAGGGGTTTGGAACTAGATGATATTAAGGACCCTTCCAACCCAAACCATTCTGTGATAATACATTACTTTCAAAATGTTTTCTTAGTGATTTCGAATAATTTCTTTGCTGACTTGCTGCCTTTTTAAAATGTTGAGGCACTACATTTTATTAGAGCATTTGTCCTTTGCCAATAAAGAACTGTAGGTAGATACAGTGTTTCATTCTGCATATGAAGCATCCTCTATTATCATTTCCACATAAAGTGAGGAGAATATAACAAAGTCAGATTCAAGATGATTTTTGTCACTACAGCAGTAGTCAAGCTCTGATGGCTTTGTTAAAAGATAAAGGAATTTTAAAACTAATATTTATGATATCATTCATTCCTTTACCTGAAAGTACTTAGTAACTACAGCTGCAGCTCCCAAGAAGTCACTTAAGTCTGCTGCCCAGTAATTTGATCTCAGGTGTAATATACTGAATAACTCAAGGACTCCAAAGTACACCTTTCTAACAAACATACCTTCCTCCCATTAGTGATATAGGCTTGGACCATGCTGATCTTTGAAAACCTTCAGGTGAAACAGAAAGAAATTAAGTTTCCTTTCTTGTGTGTCTGTGTTCACGTTAAACTCTCACTAAGTAATTACTGAATTAAAGAATCACAGGTTAAGGCCTTTACTTGTAACACTGGTGACAATTTAAAGACTTCAAAGCTTATGTTAGATGAATTGATCATTCCTGCTTCCAATGAAATACAACTCAGAAAAGTCTGATCGTTACAGGATAATCTACTGCATATTTAATAGTAATTATTTCATTGTTATAAAAAGCTTTTGTTTAAACAGCTAGCCAGTGGGCTGTTTGACCAGTACCTGTTGGCAAGCTTTCTCCCCACTTCCACTGTGGAGTGAACTGTTCCCCCTGATGAACAGAGCGGTGGAAGCTGGGAAATGAGTGCCCTGCCACTGTCAACCATCTGCTCCCAGTCCGCTGATTAGCTGCTACTGCACAGAACACAGATCTTGCACATATGTCACTGCACTTAAACACATGATTCAAACTAATTGCCAGCACGAAAACAAACGTTTCACAGGCCAGGAGTACTTTGTAGGAAGACCACATAGCAATTCACGTAAATTGGGTATCCAGCTTTCATTAAAAATACCATTAGCAATTATAGGGACTTGACTCCCTGGAAATCTCCATTCTGGAGAACTGTGATGATTTTTTTTTTTCTTTAATTTTTTTTTTTACATTTTATTTTTTAATCCAAATTGCAGAAATTAGTTGATATTTTCCTTCTGCTTCCCTGTTTACCTTGAGCAAGTTACCAAAAATTAAGTTTGCTACTGGATTTATACAGTGTGGTAGATTTTGTGAATAATAGCAGTATTCTCTCATGCAAAAGTGGTATATTTTAATGGAATTCTTTTTTGGAGCCAAGTACAACATACTGCAATTGATATTTCTCTTGAAACATTTTGACGTACTTGTGACTGTATTTCTTTTTGATTGTGTAACAGTATAAAATTCAATAAAAGAGAGGGTTTGTTTCTAATATGTGACATCTGTGATCTTTCTGTTCATCCCTTATCTCTGTTCTAGAAGATGATGGCAGATGGCAAAAGCCCCTTTAAAAAAAGTGAACTAAAAACCACTGTGCGGCATAACTAAGAGGTTATGTTTGTTTGTCTTGTTTGAGGTCTGACTTACTACTGAAGTCAGAAACTTTAACACTAGGCACACGTGTTCTGTTGTCTTGCCTTTACAGATGAATCCTAGAATCAACTAGGTTGGAAAAGACCTTTAAAATCATCAGATCCAACCTTTACCCCAAGACTGCCAAGACCACCACTAAACCATGTCACTAAGGGCCTCATCTACGATTGTTTTAAACACTTCCAGGAATGGTATAGAATCAGAACATTGGACACAATGGTTGTCCCACCTGAATTAAGTGGACTATGCGCATGAACTAAAGAGGCCTCTCTGAGTAAGCACATCAAGAATGCCCTTAGCAACAAAACAGGAACTACTTTGAATCCAAGCTGATGTCTCCAGGTGATTTCCGTTGCTCTAGGTACATGCAAATAACTTCACAAGAACTTGTGACTCCTGCTGCCTTGTTAAATCAAT